TGACGAGCCTCAGTCACTGGGCCCACCAGCACCAGCCAGCCGGTTCGCGCGGAGGAAGGGTCGTCGTCATTGCTGGCAGCGAACATAAGAGCGGGGATGATGGCGCCTGGTGTGCCATCAGGGGAGGGTGGTGCTGGTAAGCGGGACTGATGGGCGGGACGCCAAGGCCACGTCATCATCTGGACCCTTGCCCCGCGTTCACCCGACCGCGCGCGGCGGGAACAGACCGGAGCCAAGTCCCGAGCCTCACGCGCCCTACATGCCCGAGAGCTTCAATTACTAGGCTTATTAGCAATGAGTAGCTTGTATTTTAAGAGTAGTAACATGTACTATATACTGCATTTAAAATCAGGGAAAAAACGGTATAAAAATGATGTATATACATGGGGGAAGCGTCGTCGTCGTCGCCCACAGCGAGCACGCAGGCGGGAGCGATGGCGCCGTGTGTGCCATCAGGGGATGGCGGTGTTGGTGGCGGGGCCGATGGATGACGCTCAGATAACGGAGCCATCACCGTGATGGAGGATAGCGCCCGGGGCATATCGCTCGGGGGGGCTTACAGGCGTAGGAGGGGTCTTCCAAATGCATACTTGGTATATTTTAGAAAGATATCAGCGTGCTAGTGGCTCTTACGCAAATTGCGCGAATTAGCGTGGCAAACAGGGGGGGGTATGTCACGCTTATAAGTTTTAAAATACGTAAGCTCCAGGTGTGATTTTCGCAATCGAAAGATGTTACAAGCCTATCTTGGTCGCTATCTCCCTGACCGCAGCCATGTCAACGTGACCATACGGCACGGACGAACCTTAGTGCTCACCCCGACGTTTCGACAGCCCGCGATGGGTGCGTGCCAGCCAGACCTCAACAGGATTTCCACCTGCACCACCGCGTTCGCCGACCATCTCGAACATGACTCCCATGTCCGCCGCGAGATCCCAAAGCGTGCGCTCGGCGGGATCGCGTTCTTTGTAGCCTAATAGCACCAACGGGGATTTATCGTTTACGTCGGGATCGCCAAGCTCGAGTAGTGCCCGCAGCGTACGTATTAGCGAAGGAAAGGACGCCGTGTTGTAGGTGACGTCTGCCATGCTATCGTAATGTTACTCGGTCAGCACCGATGCCAACTAAGTGGTGTGGCGACGCTTACACTATCACATCAAAACTCGAGCCTATCTCTGTTACCCTGGAAGGCAGGCTTTGTTCGTCCCAGTCGAGCACAATGGGTTGTGGAGTCGCAGACGCGGAGCAGAACATAGCCTTGTTAGCTGAAATGTTGTCTTCCAGCAGTGGCATCGCTGAAGCTGCATTCTCAAGTTAACTCAGGCGGCGAAGAAATGAAGATATCGGTTCGTACTGAGGTCGGTGGTAAGGATACAGCCTTGGAGTATGGAACCCTGTTGAGCAGAGCGGAGAGCACCGATGACCAGTGACACAGCTCCTGTACCCGCACCTGCAATTTTTATGTTAGGCTATGCTGTGGCGTATATGTCCTTGTTCGTACTCACCCAGCTCTATGAGTTGGCATTCTTGTGCGGTCAAAGTAGTCCGAAGCTCCGATATAAGCGGAGTGGTGCTTGTGTCGAGTGCTCCTTGGATGAGATTGGTAACCCAAGAGCTGAGACCTATACCGCTATCCCAGACTTTCTGGAGTTCGTGAATTTTAGTAGGGGTTTTGTAAGCAGGATGTCTCACCTTCTCCAAGTCGAACGAGGTCTGTTCCTGGATCGACAAGAAAGCTTGTTCGCCCGTGTCGGTGCAGAGACGGTAGATACGCTCCACACGGTCCTGCTTCGTCGGACCACCGCCAGCGCGCCGCGAGCTGAAGGTTATAGGCATGGAGAGCACAGGGAACGGCCTGTCGCCGGTGGTAGCCGAGGCAAGGTTGACAATATACGGATACCTCTGGCTGTGTACAGTCAGAACCAGGCGGTACGTCTGGTCTTCGCGTGCGCCCTGCGGTGGAGGCACGGATATTTCGCGGTAAGCATTGGCTTCCCGCCAGGTGGTGAGTTTGACAGGTCTCGGGATGTTTGTGGGGTGCTGTGGGACACCGCCCGCCGGAGCCACGGGAAGCCAGCTGTAGTATATTTCTTGCGGCTCAGAGAATAGCTCCGTGCGCAGGTCGTTCGCGACCTGGGGAGTAATCGCTACAGGCACGCCCAGTGCGATCTGGTACGGCGGTGGCCTGAGAAAAGAAATGTAGAAAAACATCCTTCGCGATCAGCAGTCAGTAATGAGATGTGCACAATAGCAGAAAGGTGCAAAAAAATTTCTAGCCTCAAGGAACAGCTTGCTGTCTTGCTCAAGACGTATCTCGCCGCCTCGAGGTACAGAAACGCGCGTCGGTGAAAGATTCCACAATAGGCGCTTATAGGTATGCCATGGTCGGGCTGGCGGCTTGCGGCCGAGCTCACAGCGTCATGCTTTGGACTCTGCGTTCACCATCCGTCCGACACCTCCAACCATGCCTCGCTCGTAAACTCTCGTTTACGCCTAATTCACGGCTACCTCGAATAACCAAGGATGCAGTCCGAGAAATACCACCGTCGACGTCCTTCCGAGAGCAGGTAGCACGGAGCGCTGCGCCCAAGTCGTTTACGAGTGAGATCAAGACTCCTCCGGTCAGGAACCAAGTAATAGTGCGTATGGAGCCGGTTAATTGTGATTAGATCTCACCAACGAGTATGCAGGTCTTCTTGGTTGGCTCGTTTGCCGTCTATTCGATAGCGGCGGAGCAGTGCAATGTTGAGACCGCGAAATGGACGAAGAAGCTGTCTGGGAGCTCGCTCATTTGGAAAGTCAGAGAGCCTACTAGTGAAGAGTTGCGCAAAGCCAAGCGGCTAGAATTGGGGAGGGTGTGCCTGTCCTGATCTCCTTAGTCGTACTACGCTAACACTTCGGCAGAAACTCCAAGCGGGCTTATCAAGCCTGAAGGACATGACCGAGGGTTGGTCCCAGACGATGCGGGGTCTCGCAGTCTGGTCCTACATTCAAGTTTTTCAGCCTATACTCGATGCAGGCGATGGCAAGAGGACGTGCTGGGCCATCGGTGGTGTGAACACACTCGTATGGGCGGCTTGGCAGGTCCCGAAGTTCCAGCCTTTCATGATGAAGCACTTTGCACATAACCCGCTATCGGGCATATCTTACACTCTGCTCACTAGCATGTTCAGGTACGCGTCGTGCGAGTGTGCAACTTACCTATATCTAACGCTGGGCGCCACTGCTAGTCATCGGAGCTTCTTGCACTTGCTGTTTAACTGCATGGCGCTGGCTAGTTTTGGTAAGTCTTCCGGGGTGTCCCAGCAGCTTTCTAGCGCCTGATGATCCGTTTGCGCAGGTAGTGCAGCCTCAGTCCATCTCATGAAGGAACAAGCGAAAAATCCGCATGGAATACAGGAAACCGATGTCACATGGCATTTTTTAGCCTTCTACATGTCTGGTAAGCACGGTCGACTGTGGACTTATTAAGACTCGCTTCTCACAGGACCCGTGTGCAGCCGGGCTGTTTTCTGGCATGACGTCGCATGTCATGACCTCAAAAGTCCTATACCCCAGAATGATCGCCCGCCTAACTTCGAAAGCGAAGCCTGTGGACGCTGCAGCGGTAGCTAAGACCTCTGAGACTATCACAGAGACTTCGGAGAAGACCATTCTTCCATCACTGGGAGCCTCTGGAGCGATATACGCCGCGGTGACACTTACTGCCCTTGCCTTCCCCCACACGGAGATCGCCCTCATGATTCCGCCGTCCTTCCCAATACCTATCCAGTGGGGCGTCGGCGGAATTGTCGCTCTGGATGTTATCGGTGCTTTACGTGGATGGAGGTATGTGGCATCGCATCTTGACTCTGACATCGTACCGCGGGCATGCCGCTCAATCCTATCCCCTCTGCAGGTTCTTTGACCACTGGGCGCACCTCGGCGGCGCCGCATTTGGCGCGTGGTATTATAATTATGGCCCACATATGTGGAACTCTGTTCGCGCGACGCACCTTGAAGCATCACAGAAGGTTCAGCGTCCCGAAAAAACGGACTAATTATTATTTGTTTGCGTCCACACTCTCTGTTACATGCATAATCCCAACTTATCCTTACTCGTTCGTTGTGGTTGGCGCTTGCGGCTCACAGTCCGATTTAGGAGATGCAGTGATTCAGACTGGGGCATGCCCTGCGGGTCTTCTCCCATGTCAGAAGATTTCAAACATCTGATATACCATAATTGTTCCAGCCAATCATTCGCAATCCTTCGTGGAGAGTCAAACCCATTTGCATTCACCGGGACGCTCCCGATTTGCTTCCCGAATCCGTATACGGCGGTGGCTGAAACATCGTTTCGACGATACGAAGATTATGTACAGCGCAAGGCTGTTGCGATCTGTGGTGCCAGCTCCGTGCTGATCGTATACAGTATGATAACATGTTAGACACAGCTCCACAGGATTTCGACAATGCCCGCACGTGCAGTCAGCAATCTTGGGCGTATTAGGATGCGTTGTCGGAGATACTCGGGTATCTGCGCTGGGTTGAGATGTTTGTACACTGCTGTGGCTCCGCGCGAGGACGACGTGAAGTCCTCCAACCTTGCACCGCCCAATCTCAGTAGAGCTGTTCAGCTTTCCCTAGCACGGGTCGCGATGGTTCCCTTTGCCAAATCCGATTGCAAAGCACCACGAAGCCTACCACGCTATTCTAACGATGTTTACTGCCACCTCAGTCACAGTAGATCTTTTAATGTGGCATGTTCTCAGATCGGGTCGGGTACTAAACTGAAAAACAACCGTGAAAATTTTCTCATTATTTGCCACATAACGATAACATGACCAGTAAAGTCTGAATGTTTGAGTATAGCTGCCTTATGAGTATTGTCTGTGTCGTGGCTGCCTCCGCCCGCCCGTTATCAGAGTCGACTATCATCGACTGATTAGATAAGATCTGCTGGGCAGCGATCATGAGCGCGGAAATGCTTACATAAGCGCACCTAAACGAGCATTTGAACACAGAGTCTTCCCAAATCAGCTTACTATACCCACAATCAAAAAGAGAAAAAGGGTAAAAGTGCTGAGAATCGGCCGCATAAGTAACAGCCCCACACCGACCCAAAAGGAACCACACTACGTCTGAAAAACAATACCTTCAGTCTAAGAAGATATGCAGGCCCTCGCAGGGAGGTCATTTCCGGGCGAAGCAAAACACACGAACATTCTGTCATGAACTGCTCAATATCAGGAAGTCCAAACAGCAATCAAGCCTAGAATTCTACCAAAGCATCCTTGTTGCTGGTCCTAACTGCCGCTCCCAACTCTCAAGTGCAAGCATGCACTGGCACTCGTCTTCGGCGTGGTCGGGCTGGCCATGGCCGCTCTTGTCTCTCTCTCTCTCTCTCTCTCTCTCTCTCTCTCTCTCTCTCTCTCTCTCTCTCTCTCTCTCTCTCTCTCT